CTGAACCCGTATCTTAACCGTTGTAATTTTTATCAGTGTCCCAAGCCTGATACGGCTAATAAGCTCTTTCTTATCACTGAACGACCTGAGAGGCAGCCATTTTGTGTACCGATTTCATAGATAAGACGATGATAATACTGTGATATCACAGACTATTATCATAATATAGTCTCTGTGGTCATATATTTGATAAAATCATATTAGGTTAGGTGATGATAGTATCGAGTACAGTGTTGTACCTTTTGAAACGGTAATAAAAAATACAATAATATTTATGTAAAACGCACCGATCGTTTAGGAATCCGCGTGGAAGGTCTCGTGAGTATAAAAAAAAAAAGAGGCACCTGTTGTTGATCTCCATAAATGCATTCGACGGAGGTCGTTTTCGGATATCAGTCAAAGTCGCACTCCCACCGCCATGGCATCGGTTTGCAAAAAAAAAAAAAAATACTAATAATAATAATCGTGATCTCTATATTATTACTATTATAAGACGGTGTTACGTTGTTATTTTCTTAATCGGCCAACGAGAGTGCACGGTATTTATAGTAATATAAATACATTATATGTGTGTTATAACAACACTTGCGGCGGGTACCGTTATGATAGGACGGCGGGGGCAAGGTCGCCGACTCGTTTTGAAAGTGAATGAAAAAAAATTAATAATAAATCGGATATAAACCCATTATACGACCGTCGTCGTTGGAGCGGTGACTCGAAAACGAGTCGAGCGCACAAACAAATCTTACTTAAAAAAAGCCAAACACAAGCTGCTGTTTACGGTATTCGGCATGACTTAATTGGCGCGGCTTAGGCCCATTGTGATAATTTATTGACACCGCGTCGGTTTCGTCTTGGCGGATGACAATAAGTGTTTACCAGTTGTTTTCTTAGTATTCGTTCACAGCTCAATTGTATTGTCTGACAACACAATGAAAATATTTTCAAATACCTGTTGATTGGTTCAATTACGCACAGCAAACTATACACTGTAATTTCACCCTTTTTGTTTGGGTTTTGGAGTAAAAAACCAAGTTTGCTAACAGATTTCCATCAAAATCGTACATGCTATTGCCCCTCGTTCTTCCAGCCCACCTGTCTGTTAGGATATAGTCCACCTACAGTTGGGATAAATCCGGATTTCGCACAACGCTGCAGAGCTTGTTAGTATGTACCACCGATGATAGAAGAAAGAGATGACCTAAATTTGCTGGCCACAGCCTGTTGTGGGAATAGCGCAGTAGTCCAGTTGGCAGCATTGAGGATGTGAATGTAGAAGATTGTGATTGTATCATAAACGGCAGAGGGCTGTAGTAGCCTTAGAAGCTTTGGAAACCACGCAAGAGGTGACCTGGGATAAGAATGACCATTGTAACATTTATATATTGTGAAGTCCAAATGATTGTGGAGCGATGAAGATGATATTGGGCGTTTGTTCAAGGGAGTAAGCGGTGAAGGTAGATAGTGCATTCGTGACCGAGAGAGAGCAGTAAATTTGCACGAACTTATTATTAGAAGCAATTTAAATTCGAAGGACTCTGATATTCACAATTAAATGGGAGATGTGAGAATTAAAGTAATTGGCATTGGTGATGTACACTCGAGAGTAGAAGCAAATTCGAAAATCATTATTGGTCGAGGAAATGATTCATGTTTGACGTTAAATTTAGCATTTACAAGGTAAACACGGGACAGAATAGGTGTACAATATTGTAGTCGAGGTGCATATTATTTTAATTATAGAATAACGAAAGAGCAGCGACAGGAGGCAATAAGAGCTTTGATGCAACAATAATATAAATTCGAAGAGGTTACTTTGGGTTTTAAAAAATCTCGACTCTTCCATTAAAAACAGTTGCAACTTGGGATCACTTACTCTGGCATATAACTAACTCTACATTGGTTATATTTGAAAAATTACACTTGTTAATTTGGAAACTGCAAAATGCATGTGCTCTTCTCTTGTATGAGTCAGCTTTTCAATTTATCATTCACTGCTCTTCCTCGTTATGTCTCGTTCTATTATTTCTTCTGTCCAATCTTATCCTTCACAGCCAAGCACTGGCTATTGATATTTTAGTCAGAGATTAATGTAACAAGTCAACGTCACCACTCATAGGTACTCGTGGGTAGGTTAGATTGGATAACTCGGCACCGCTAAACACTATACCTACAATTCCTGGTCGATCGTTTCATCTTCTTTTGTGACGAGCTTGTAATTATGCGTTTAACAATATTATTTTTTGTTCAATACAACACTCCCTTCCCAGTGTTTCCGAAGACCGACGCCCTTGCTGTGACCTCCAAGCACCCGCGCCTGTAACTTATATAACCTAACCTTATCTAGACTTATTTGTTGTTTTTTTTTAACAAAAACCATATTTTATTAATGATTAATTTTTCGTGCCACTATTATTGGCAAACGAATTGGTTAAATCCGTTGGAATTTCGGCTGAACGCTGCAACAAGGCAAGAATCGTTCTGAGATAAACTAAGACAAGTTTTTTTGGCTCTGTATTGAATTGATAATTGAATAATTGTTCGTTTCTTATTTTTTTAATTTACGATCTGACAAATTTTAATGCATCAATAATTATGTTTAATAGTTTTACCTTGAAGTCGTGTATCAAACCCGTCGATATGACATTATTGTAATGATAATTATTAAAACGCAATTGACAGCTATCACACCTGTGCCGTGTGATAAACGACAAAAAAAACGGTTTTTTTCTAATGAATGATAGTAATTAACGCGTTACATATACTGTTATCGTGCGACCGCGGTCATCAGATTAGCGTTTAGGTAACACAATCCGTTTAGGTTAAATATTAATTTAAAAAAAAAAAATGAGCACGAAAAATTAAAACCAAAAGCCAACGTAGTAAAAAGTGGAAGCAACGGCTGTCCCAGTTTTGAATTCTAAGTGATAGAACAATTACAGTAGGACTTACATACTGGTGTACTTGTACTTAACTTTTGATCGTCCTAAATTTAGACTACACTAGTTTTTTTATTTGTTTTAAACCAGAAGTCGCAATAAGTGTACCTTGTGGTACAAGACATATTGTTGCCTATCAGCTGTTATAATATTAATATATTTGAAATGTATATATTCATCTGTATAGCTCATTAGGATTATACTATGCGGTGTCTGACAATCTATAAAACAAGTATTTATTTTTGTTTAAAGTGATCACACTGTCGCTCGACTTCTTAATTACTTTTCAGCTGAACACAGGGCATTATATGTTTTTACTTTATGACTGTAATATATTATTATAAACGTTATTAAAATTAATAAACATTATTAGAACGTCTAAAATCTAAAATCACAAATAATTCCATAAGTAAATCTTCGTTTTACTTACCAAACATTTCTAACAATTATACGTTATTATCACCTTCGAATATATTAACGTCTATAGAAAATGCAATGAACCATCAACGTGCCTCCATTAATATGTGCCTTTAAGCTAATTAATATACCCAAATCTTTAATGTAATCACATACACCTTTAAGTCCTAAATGTGTGTACTTGTTTGTTTTTCTCCCCTTTAATTATTTCCATCTCTTCTACACTTTTTCAATGTATTACTGTATCTATATTTAAATTTATAACTGTTTTTGTGCTTGTAAATTAGATTTATTTCGTTAATAAAAAAAGATTATTGATAACGGCTTATCAGTTATAATATTATCATACTATCATATGGAATTTTAATTTATCTTTATATCCTAATAGTTGATAAGGATAATGCCGTGCAAAGTATAATAAACGTATAAAAAAAAAATATTTATTTCAATTAAAAAGTGGCCACACTGTCGCTCGCCTTCTCGTTTACATATTTTTACTCTCGTTTGGTCTATATTGGTCAACCTTTGATCCTTCGAACGTCTTGGACCTCGTTTTCCGACCTAGGAGGAGCCGTTACAGAGAGAAAAATAAAAAAATACACATATCTTAGTAGAATAAAAGCCAAACTATATAAAATACACTGTCAAACTGAACCACAGCTGAATTTGCGATTCGACCGTGGACTACTATACTAGTATAATGTGCAAGTTAGGTACAAAAGCCTTTGTCGACACTCGTTCACGGTTCAATATGGCCTTTGGCCGTCTCGCACGAGATAAGAACTCAGTGTCGTAAGACGTCTCCGTCGAATAGTGTCACAACCGTACATGATCATAGAGACCTTCGCTGTATCCACTCACGGCCACACGTCTCGCCATATTTTGTTTCTTCCACAACCAAACAATGGCGACAAAGGTGTTGGGGAACGAAAAAAAGAACCGCCGTCGTTTAAAAAATAGGAAATTAAATATATTATTAACGTTGTATTTAAGGACTAAGTATAAGTTTCAAAAAAAAAAAGTTTCACACGATGAATGATTATGGTTTGGCTGAACAAAATACAAAAAAAAATTTAAAAAAAGTCAATTTAACAATTTTTACTATTTAACATAATATTTTGCATAAGGTAGGTGTATGTATACATATTATATTATATATAACATATTTGTAACGACAATATTTTATTAGCTTATTCATTATGAAACTATGACTGGCAATAAATAAGTATGTATGTATGTATTTTTTAGCCTTATCTCACTATATTTTATAATCAAAATTTTCATTCACGAATAATTAGCCGGATATTACAAACGTTCGGTTAAAATATACTTAAAGACACGTACGTAAAAAATATAAATATAATTTTTTAACAATAAAAAAAAAAAAAAATTATATTCTTAAAAGATAACAACCGAACTCTCTCTTTTTTTTTTTTTTTTTAAGTACATTTAAATAGGAAAACAACATTGGAGAACCGTTTTATGTATGTACAAACACTCGTCAGGTGGTGGTAGGGATGTGGAGAGGAGAAGGAGGACAGTGTCCCGCGGGACGTGCAGACACCGCCGGCCGAGGGGGGGGGAGAGAAGGGGAGGCGTACCCGTTTAATAACAACTGTTGGCCGTGACTAGAAGGTTTTTGGCGGCGGCGGCGGCGGACAGCCGGGACGTCAGTCCACCGTGATGACGGACGACGCCTGCGTGGTGGCGCTGCCGTTGCTGGAGAACGAGCTGCGGGCCGTCTCGGTGTCGGTGGGCAGCTGGGCGGCGTCGGGCACGGTCAGCGTGGGCACGAGGAACGCGGAGGACGCGGCCGACGGCCGTCCGAACCACCGGCCGAACACGTGCAGCGGCGGCCCATTGCCGGACAGCCGGTCGGCTGGCTTGACGGGCGTCACGGCCGCGGCCACGGTGGCGTTGCGCACGTTGTCGTAGAAGCTGCTGCACCGCTTTCGCCGGCAGAATATCCGGCACAGTTCCCGGTGCACGCGCCTGTTCCGGTGGGCGAACAGTATGGGCGTGATGACGGCGTGCGCGGACAACGAGAGCAGCGCGGCCAGTGGTTCCGGCGACGGCACGTACCCCGTGCCGGCCAGCGGCGGCCACTGCGACAGCTTGTACGCCGCGTACGGCGTCCAGCACGCGGCCGCCGTAACGATGACCAGCACGGAGATCTTGGCGGCACGCGACTCTTCCCGGTACCGGAACATGCTGGCGTTCGATATCCTGTATCTGTAAACAAACGAAACAACACACCGTTAATTTTGTTACAAAATTGGCCTTTAGTCCCCATTGAGAACATGTTAAACTATATAATAACTACAACAAATTGTTGAAATCGGTTCGATAGACATTTCAGAAAGTGACTTCGCTTTTAGACTGTATTTGTAAAAAAAAAATTGATACTTTCCGTTAAGTACATAAACCTGATCTGCCTATAACGGCAACCCAACATGACCTAACCTAACCGACACTCTATTTCCTTCAAGTAATTCCGCAAAATACTCTCCTCGAATACATGGAATGGCCACACTCCTAACCTAACAACACAGGTTTAACGTATTACCGGTTTAACAATGCATAGTTGACCTAACTAACCAACCCAACCTACCTACATCTGATTCTCCCCCCAAAAAATACTTAAATATGTCTAAATTGTTTTTGATCAATATAATATACAAAGCTGTGACTTTGCCTGACTTCTGCAAGGTCAATCTCTTAATCTCGAAATCGAACCTAATAACGATTTATTAATTACAAATATAAACAAAATTCACAAGTTCACAAAACTTTGGACAACGTACAAACTTTACAGCGCGTGTATAGTATTATTATTATCTAATCTAATCTAATATTTAAAATTATGCCTGGCTTCCCGTTTATTCGAAACCGGTATTTTACGGTGTATTAAAATGAAATAATTGTAATTAAAATAATAAATATTAACTGATTACCCAATGGCGTCAATTATAAACCACACACGCACAATATTTATTATAGCGGTGTTGCCGGCAGTTATTTTATGATAATATTATCAACAAAATGTTGTGTGTGTGACGGAGGTTAATAAATTTATATATTTTGCTTATAATACAATATTATAATTATAAACAGCCACGTTAGATTTATAATACGGAACAGTAGTAAAAAATAAATAAACACGAGTAATATTCGTAAATCGTACCTGTACTTGTTATGCGAGTAAATTTTTAATGTAAACTAAAAAAATTAATGGCGTCAAAGTATGGCTTTTTTTTAATAGCTAAATAGCGGTAATCCTTGATGGAAAATTTATTTCAACAAACAAGCGGCTCTATGTAAAAACCGTATCCAAACACCTGTTTACAGTTGTTGTTTATTATTATTATGATATTAACTAGACTGAGCCGACAGGTAGCAAAGTACACGCTGATTTACGATTAAATCGTACGAGTAGAAAACCTAAGCCGGGAAATCCGAAAATAGTGAAAGGGTTGTGCAAAATCCACAGAAGAGTACATTTGTTGCACGTCCATTATGATCGAAAAACATATTGTTATAATATTATAATCGAGCTTATGCTAATGAGATCAATTAAAAACCGATAGTCGCTTTCCCTGGGTAGGTGTTTGTTTTCTTCTTCTTCTACTACTACCGACGGTGATAATTATTATTATCGTCATTGTCCTCTAATTCGCTTTCTACGGTTGCCGCACGCATCCATAATGTATCGATGAGCGATGACCGGGGTAGCGTTTCGCCAACGTTGTTGTCAGATTAACTACCAAAATGCAGGCTCTAAATGGGACGCGTTTGTCTAAAAATGGGTAACTTCGCCTAACTTTTTGAGGAATAACATATAACAGCGCGACCTAGTGGACAACTCCATAAGTTCTTGTGGTATAACATTAGTGATCTAATATGGGAATTTATTCAATAACCCGCTACAGCTGTAAAACGAATGGTTTATCTATAAAACAAATTCTACAATAAGCAATTTCTAAAATTACAAATAAGTAAATTTTACGACATTTTTTAACGCTTCAATCTTATAGGAAAAATAACATGCGTTATTCTTTTCACTGGAGCGTCGAGTATGCTGCGCAAGTTGCAAAGACCCGTTACAAAATAACAAGAACGTTGTAACTTTTGTAACTGTTGAGTTACTCGCGACACTAATAAGGCGCAACGAGTGTCAGTTTTCAAGTAACTCCTCAATGCGCGATTCTCGCCGAGAAATTTTTAAGTAGCTTAGGTTAGGTTAAGTTTGGGATAAATTAGGTCTATCACAACATAACTGATTGTCTAGTTTAGGTTTGCCAGTAAATAAAAATGTAATTTACCTTAAATGGTTTACAATGGAACTGGACGTGCTCTTGAGACTAGCCCTGGTGGACGAATGCTGGAACGGGGGTGGCTTAGGGGTGTCCGGTTCTTGTGCCGGTTGGGTCTCCTCCACAGTTTCGTCGTCTTCTTCTTGTATCGTAGGAACTATGTTATACTCGTTGTTGTTGTTGTTGTTGTTGTTGGGCTGAAGCGGTTGTTGCTGCTGCTGGTGCTGCTGCAGCTGATCGGGCACCGATCCGTTTCTCCTGGCCCGTTCGCTGTTCCGGTGCGCGGCCGTACATATTTTCACGTACACCCAGCACACGGACACGAACGGCACCACGTACAGCAGCGCCACGTAGGCCACCGGAAACGAGTACCGGTAGGCGTCCGGCGCCACCGACAGTTCCCGGACGGCGGACAGCGCGCCGGCCACGGCCGACAGACACCACGTCAGCGCCACGGCCACGGCGCAACTGGCCGCGTTCACAGTCACGTGGTATCGCAACGGGTCGGTAACGGCGTAGTACTGATCGACGGCCACGGCCATCACGGACAGCACGGACTGCGCGTACACGGCGCCCGTCAGGCCGTTCCACACGGACGCCGGCAGCGTAGGCGCCCAGCTAAACGCGCTGCCGTCCCATAACGTCAACGGCACGAGGATCCAGCTGCTGGCCAAATTGGTAACCAGTAAGTTCATCACAAATCTGTGGACAATGCAAAACGTGAACATAATTAATACAGTAGGTACAATAACCGGTAAGCGGTAAGCGTGGAGTAAAAATATACAACCGAGTAATCGAAAAGGCCAACGACAGTGTGACCACTTTATACAAAATAAATACATTTTTTTTAACTGGTTAAACACTGCACAGTAGCAATCCTTATCAAACGTATCATATCGATAGACACATTCCACATGACAGTATAATAATGTGATAAGCAGCAAGTTTACAAATATGTACCAGACAAGTGTAATTTTGTCATTCTGGTCACACTGCAGCTCGCCCTTTTCGCTTTGTTTAAAATATTTAATAATTACGACCCCTTGGCGGTAAGCTATACTGTTCTAAAACCACCTGTCCAATTCCACAGAAAATTGGGATAAAATAAAAGGCCATAAGAGCTTTTAGTCATTTTTGTTTTAAGTAATGTATTCTAATCGCACCAACGTTTATAAAGATTACACAAATGTTTTAATTTGAAGATTTCGGTAAGTACCATCGCCTTGACTGATGAAATATTACATAAAACATAACGATAAAAGATATGGTTTTAAAATTCAATAGAAGACCTTACAAACGCGATAATTGTAGCGATTATAGGCGAGCTCATAATCGGAAACTTTGTTCTAATAAGTTAAATTAAATTGCCTGGTGTGTATACACGATAACCGTTATCGGTCACATATAAATCGTTAAGCGTTCCACAAGCAGCGTACGACAAGGAATAATTGAGAACAATTATTATTAAACAAATACAACAGCTGTCAGCTTACAGGCTTCTTCCGCAATAGTTGATCCTTGAGTGCAATTTAAGAATTTTTAAACGGTATTGTTGAAAATAATATAAACTGCACTATCAGACCAAACCGAGGACCAGACAGTTCGGAGTCTAACTCCAAAACGAACAATACTATTATATTATGTATTTTTTTTATCGTTGCAATGACACGGTTTCCCGATTTTATTACCGTAGCGAATGCCAAAAAACCATATCAAAATAAACATTGTATGCAATCCTAACCCAGTAGACCGCAATACTACCACAGATTAAATAAAACCAGATAGTGCGCTATAAAAATAAAATCGAAAAATCTAAACAAACTTCTCATGTCAGTGTGGCCAAATAATGAAAAAAATAATCCTCCTGTTGTACGGTCAACGAAATATTCTAATCTAACGTGCTGACTAAGACACGGTTCTTCTACCGCAATCAATTACAAGTCATCTGTATCCGATAACAGTTCTAATGTGCAAAAGACTTAACGCGAAGTCGGCCAAAGTGATAAATGGGATTTATTATATTATTCTCTGGCGACCAATCATCGCCAGTACTCAGAATGTAATTATTGATGCAGCTAGGTGTCCAAGTGTAGTGCAATATAAAAGGAAATTGCCTAGAGACCCAATAGTGTATATATTGTAAATTGGACGACCATAAATGTATAACAGTATATACACATATAGAATCATATACCGGAAGTTTATATTATCTTACTTTCCCCGGACCCATATCCCGGCCAATCCTTAACTAACCTATTGTGTATATGAAAAAAAATTAAAAAAAAAAAAAAAACTACACTACAAAGCCGACGAATTAAATTCGCAGATGTTAAACACATGCACAGTACGATTTAGCACGGCCGTTGAGTAATAAGACTAAAAATACTATCATACAAAATGAACTATCTAAAATATCGGATTTGGACACCGGCCAAATGGATACGGCCCAGAAGACGTCTTGTGCAGTAACTAGTAGGTTGATCAATTTTTTTTTTGCACAAAATTTATTTAACGGTTTAACGTTTGACGAGTTTATAACCGTATCGTATCTAAATATACAATCGCTAAACGAGCAATTATTATGTTACAGTCGATACACTAAATCCCAATACAACAGCTGTCATTCGATACCCGTTCTTTTAAGTTTAAGGAAATCCAATAAGTTTTCTGGAAAATTCGTCCGGAAATCGACGGTCGACCACGGTGTGACGGTGTTCGGTCGCGCCAAAAAAATATAAATATTAAATAAAAAACAAAAACCAACGCATCCGCCTCGAGAACGAGCATGACAAATGTGATAACCAGGAAACGATATTGCCGATTAATCAACGGTGCGCGTTTAGTATTCACTATGAGTTATTGCCGCGTTGAACAGGTGTAGGAGATAAAAAAAAATAGAAAAAATGTAATAAAAATCTTGATGAAAATAAAAAAATTATAAAGACCATCGAAAATGTTTTTGGACTTACAATTAGACGATGACCAAAAGCCAAAGTTAACGTTTTTATCAGTCAATGACTTAGAAAAAATTAGAATTATTTTTATTTTTTGTATACTTTCATAGTTACTAGTTAAAATAAAAAACTTAAGTTCTTACGGTTTTAACTAATAACTATAAAAGTATAAAAACAATATATAAATAATTAAAAAAGTTAATATTATAAAATAGTTAACTAATCATCAGGTAAATGGTTGGTAATAAAACAGAACCGGGCAATTACAAAATGATTTAAATCTAGTTACAAAATTACCGATTTCTTTTTTTTTTATTTAACTCGTTATAAATTTTTAGTTACTGTTTATCGAAACTACTTATTAAAACGATTTCTTCGAAACAAAAGGAAATACTTTTGTCAAAATACTACAAGCATTGTCTAAAAGACTATGATTTTTCCTTAAGAAAAACTGTATCGTAGTTCAAGAAAGTAAGTATAATAACTCGACGAGTTTCCGAAATTGAGTAACTCACCCGAGCTTATGTAGTGTAAGCTTTGAACGTGGAAATACTTTGAGTACGGAAATCCTATCATAAGAAGCTCTTTGTCCCGAAAAATAAAAAGCATATAAAAATTGATCATTTTAAGCGTTTTTCGTGGAAGTGGACTAGAAAATGTAAGACACCGTGGCCGTGGATAGGATTTCTTCGTCTCGCCGAGTTAAAATTAAACGTTCCATAAAGTCATCATCTCCGTGTTTTATATTATATTATAATAAACACGCAGATACATATGCATGTGCCTGGCTTCCGCCGGAGGACTCGCATAAATTATCAACACTTACACTTGGCACGGTGACCGCCTTAAAAAGAAACGGTACGTTTCGTAATCGGTTTCCGCTGAATAAATTTTACACGATTTGCTGGCAATTCTTCAACGTTTTCCTTTCGTTTGCGATTGGCTCTATTGTGTGGTATTATACACACAAAAAAACAATTATCACCATTGACCGCTATTATTGGAAGCGGATATACTCTTTGTAACGAAAGCGCATTGACAGTTTCAAAAGACGGCGACCAAATTCGGTCGCCGTCTTTTGAAAGCAAATTCGCTTTCAAACTCGATTTAAAACAAAAGAAAACATTTTTTTTACCGTCAATTCATTACCAGTCAGTTTCGGCGAACAAGTCAACAGCGCAAGAGAGAGCCCTAACAAGCTTCCCCCCATTAACCAACCCGCCCACGTGGTCACACTTGCAAATTACCATAAAAATAAAGTGTTCTACAATTCAATTAAATTGAATCATTAATTGATTGCATAAGCCGCGTTACAAACTTGATGTATTATTATTAGACTTACCTGTTGGATAGGGTGCGAAGACCGGGACGTCGGTAGAACACTAGCAGTAGCAGCGAGTTGCTCGATGTGGACACGATCAAAACGAGCGTCGAGAAGACTTTCAACAGGCCGACTAGCGTTAGGGCCATTCGGCTGCTGAGATCCTTCTGCAAAAAAACAACAACACACTGATAATTATGAATTGTGCGTGCATTTGGCACTTGCCTACTGGGAAACCACATCATAATACTATTTTAATATACATTATACATATATATATATGTTATATATTATTGTGTGATCGGCGGGGAGAGGGGCAAAACGACATTAACACTAAACTGCAGAGTTATCAACAGTTTCGGGCTATTATGTGTACTTAAAAGTGATATATATATGCGCACGTTACTCTCGAGAACAGTTACACACACACACACTTGAGTACAGGGTGATCAAAATTGAAACAAAACACGCTTCACTTCAATATTGTTTTTAGTCGAATAAGTTTCCAGTTTGTTACTTATCGCTGCGCAGAGGGTAGATTTTTCAAAAGTCAAACCAAAATAATGATGATAAAAAACAACGTTTTGTGCGTTACTTCCTTCAACGGGTAAGCACAAAAATAAACATGTGTACAGCCATGTCGATGCGTTAAAAGTTACCCTCTAAAGCTACGCTTTCGGCTATGATGGTATTTTAAAACTGACCATTAGAAACAGTAATTAAACCTGCCGTTTAGCTATAATAATAATAATAATAATAATAATAATAATAATAATATTTTTCCTAAAAAAATTACTATACAATAAAACGTCGATCGCTCTGTACATATACTACATACACTCAGAGCAAATAATATATGCACACCGAATCAAATGATAAGTCTTCGATCCACCACTGCCGTCGCGCCGCCTCGTACTTTGAGGTTAGATAAACAGACGTTTAAAAAAGATAATATAATAGTATATTTCATGTGCAAATATCATCACAACGTTATTATTGAAATTAAGACACACACACACGTTGCTGTATTATCGGTAATTATTATTATGATGATTTTTAGCTTACGAAAGTCGTTGGAATTTTTCCTAATCTTTTTTTAAAAACTTGACATCAAGATATTATCAAGGAGTCAAAAAAAAAAAAGAAACTATTAATTTTCAAAGTTATCCGACAATTACCGACAACCGCGGTTTTTTTTTTTTTAATGTTTTTCTTAGCTTTTTTTCGATGTCGTTAAATTGAATTAGCGAGCACGCCCGTCGAGAACGTGAACACAAAATATAATATAGGCCATTCCTTAAATGGTTTCTTCGATGAATTGCAATATAATATAATATAATATACTCGAACGTCCTCGGCCACAGTTTATTGCTCATATTACTTAATTACATTTAATCTATAAAGTCTTTCTCTCCCTTTCTACGGTTTATTTTTTAGGAATTTTCTACTACCAAATAATATGATTTATTAACGACATTCAATTCGTTACGGATTAAGCCGTTTGGCAATAATTATTAACTGAAAATGATTAATAACCGACCCCGGCAATATCGAAACAATTTATAAACCTAATTCGTTATCGCTCGGGTTAAAAATTAAATTGATCAACTCCGAAATATAGTATAAAATATAACAAGTAACGCGCTTTAAGTTGTGATTTATTAATTTTTTTGACTTAAAACATTTTAATTTATTCAGGTCTTTAAATATGATCGATTTTTGCAGAGTCCAGAGTTGTAACTAGTAACAAAGTTACAAGCTAGTTATAAAGTTACAAGTTAGTTACAAAAGACGGCAGTTACTTAACGAGTTATCGAAATGATAATAACTCACTCAAGTTTTTACATTCACACACACACACACTACTAATTATTATTTAGGAGAAGTCGAGTGACCAACAGTTTCTCACGTTGATTATTAACTAATTATTGACACTCGTTTGAGTCCCGATCGAAAACAATTTGTTTTTGTTTATCTTGAGAGAAATGCAAAAAAAAAAATGTGTTTCTTATGACTTGTAAAATGATGGGCGACAGAGAAAAAACATAGATGATATTATATAATTGAAAACCGCACACTTAAGAAAACAGTAGCAATCGAAAAATACAATTATTTTCTCACGTGTCCTTTGCAACTCACGTGACAGCATTTAAATTTATAGCTGATAAACAACAATAGTGTTGCGTTTGTTTGGGTTTATTCCACAATGTATTTGTCGTAAATATGTATAGGTATTAGCTGTTAATTACAATAATATGGCAAGAATGTGACAAACATGTGATCGAATCAACAACGTTCTTATAAAACACTTTTAATCTGTTACACGATTACACACGTTATAGTAGTATTAAGTATAGGCACAAATATACGGTAAGAATGTATGTATGAATAAGGTGAAAAATATGCATATTTTAATGTACACAATATTAAAATAATCGACGTCGTGACCGATAATGAAAAACCATAGTCAGTTTAATGAATAATTACGTTTAATCCACGGTGAAGGATTTTCCGCCATAAAGCCCATCACGTTCTTCGTGGATGTCATATGTGGACGGGGGTACCTACAGCGTAAAACCGAGAAACACATTCTCTATCATCTTGGAAATTATATAGACTATAACATTAGTTAGCACGAGTGTGCCGGTGTGAAACGTCCATAAATTAACTGTGAACTTGGTAGTTAGCTGTGAGTTTTCATCACTGTGCCACGCACGTTTCTTAACGATCAAAATATTTACACGCCCATTACTGTAATAATGTAATATAATATACATACTGCGTGGTAGGCGAAAAATTTAAAAATTACAACCCATCGTGTAAAGCATGTATTATAGTAGTAAAAAAAAACCTTAACGACCGCCTTGACGATGGTTATCTTCGTCTTAGAAAAAAAAAATTACCAAACGCCAACGATGCAAATATTATTTTTGTAGTTTTACGTTTTTTTTTTATGAAGGTAATGTGTATATAAATTCAAGTTTAAGAAACTCGAAGAAACTAAGTAATTACTTAATTGGGTTTTTTTTTTGATAACATAAAAATGTCAACTCGTTGAATTACAAAATTTTTAATTGGGAAAACTTAACGGGAAAGTTGCAATACGTCTGACTTTTGCAACTCTGCAACGAGTTATTGCCATGCCAAACGAATATAATACCTATTTATATGTATATTTTTTTGTTCCCTTCAAAGTATTTAAACGTTATGTTTTTTCTATCTATTTTGTACACGGAAGACGTTTTTTTTCTTGTTAATTGCCTTCATTATAAATATAATATATGGCAACAAAAAAATAAAATGGACCGAATTTTCACTAATTATTTAAAGTGCAGCGCTAACAATTGATTAGATAAGCTCGTGGCACATAAGTATTTTGGTTGAACCGATACACAATAATATGTAACATGTTATCAGTGTATTGACTTGGAAAAAAATCTGATTACATTTAATCGAAAGACATTGCCATTATGCCCCACTTTTAAGAATTCAGAGTCAACGATGCGGTTATCAAACGATGCGGTGAACATACTATTATATTAATATTATATTGTACATGATTATTGTTAGTATAATCGATGTGCTTAAATTAATTTTCTACCATCGTCGAACTTGCAAGAAACACTGTATCATTTGGAACACCATTACAACAACCGAGAAACCATTAAAATACCTAACGAACAATTTTAATGTGCACGTTTGTTTGTGCTATGTAATCGGCGGATCTTATCGATGGTGGTGCACAAAATTTAATATAATATAATATATTACATGTATAATAATATATTACATATGTTGTTAACTGGGATACCATTTGGTCGGGACTTAACCTCTGGGCGCAATGCGATTTCGCACGTACCAAGACGTTATATCGTTATTTTGTCTTCTTGTCTCGTCTTGTCTCACTATTAATATATGCGAGGTCGTTGAGAAGCAAAATTAAAAGCCGTCAGAGACCGTCTTGGCGACGATGACGTTCTTGGTAATACAACACGAGTCTTGTTAAAAATTGCACAAATGATGGATTTTTTTTTTTTTTGACGCTTTTTTGTGAATTTTCTTTTTTCTTTTTTTTTTTTATTAAAATTTAATGAAACCCGCTTGGGAAAATAAACAAACCACACTTTTGAAGCCAACCAACACGCGAAGTCGGACAAGTGTCTGTAGAAAAAAGTAAATAAAAAAGAAAGAAGACGCTACTTTTCTTTTGACCCACACATTTAATGTAACAATTATATACATTTTCGTAACGTTTGGTAGTTTTGAAATAAGTAATCTTAAATTAACATTTTTAATAGTGCCGATGACGGCTGTCTTAACATTTCAGTTTCATTTTAATTGCAAACGGTTCCCAAGACTACGCCGAAAACAAGTTTTGAACGATCATCTAATGAAATTAAATAAATTGATTTTAATTGTATGGAAAAACTACAAAACAATACCCGTCAACATCATAAAACACACAAATAATAATAATATTAATACCGTTCAACGTCATTCGAACATCGAAAAACATTAGTTTATTTATTTAAATTTAATAAAAAATCAGCGTATAACTTATGACCGACAACCTTGTGGCTATTAATAAATTCAGCGTACAACTTATTATTATTAATAGGCCCACCAGCGCCTACCAACCGGTTATCCATTTTTAAGTCACATCTTTCACGTCCATTTCTGATCAATCCGTTTAATTTTTATAAATAAACATGTAGGTATGTACAACCTGAAAACGCACATCTTTTCACTGACACACACCCACAAGATCACCAGCAACAAACTTAAAAGAAGTATGTGAGAAAACTTGTGTCTTATTAATATTCAAATTTCGGTGTCAACCGAACCGAACTGAATCGAGATCTAAGTGCCTACTATAGCAGTGGATTATTAATTCTTTAAATATTTCTCATTGAAAAATCTTTGGGGGCAAGACAACAACATTGGAGCTTTAGTCTTCCTAGTTCCTTGTGCACACTTTTCGTTGGACGCAATTTAAGAAGTTCATTGCCCCTCAATAAATATCGTCGATAATGAAAATAAAAAACGGTACAAGTTTGTATGGCATTTTTTTTTTTTTACTTAATTATCATCTTTGGAAGGCGTCGAGGGTATGCAAATCAACGGTCGTCGCGTGTGGGTGGCACGTGCCTCTCTGCCGGTTATTGCAATCGCCGACCATCACATCATCGTCGGGTCGTTTAATTCAATTAAAACATATTATATTATCGTTAAAACGAGATTATTAGCGAACCGCCTTGTGTCTAAGCTCCCCGGCAGCCTTAAGACGTGTCCCATAATTAAGTACAAAACAAACTGCGGCCGACTGGTTTTTTTTCGGCATGCGAGCCGAGCCGCGCACAATGTAACTGATCTTGGATCTCCTTCTTTGGTAAAAAAAAAAATAAAAAACCTACTATTTACTTATATGTATATAATATGATCCTCTATGAACCAGTTTAACGTTATGGGAGGGGAACAAAACGGTTATGCAATGTTGACACCGCCGTTTGACACACATATAATACTATACGTTGGGCACATACTATAATATACAGCCTCTCACACACACACACATTTGTCACATAATAATAATAATATTTTGTTTACAGTCGACCGCCAAAGTGCAGTTCACTAGGACGTAAGACGATAACACAGTAATATATTTGATAAATCGTGGGAAAAACAATAAGTGCTTTCAATATGGCGGCCTCTGGCTAGTGGACTTTTTCATGAACGGCCGACTACAGGCAATGTATGGAACGCTCTTCTATACATTGAGTTCAGTGATACGGTCAAAGTATTAAAAAAACCCGGTATGAAAAATAAAAACCACCAAACTTTTTTTTTTTACCAAACACACTTAGTGTTCCGCAGCTTAATGATCATTTACCAACAGCTGACCGGCGCGGTCACACCGAACGCGCACACCGCCGGCAGTTTTAAAATCTATTACTCGTTTGGATTTATTATATTAAATAATAATATTGTATGCGTTTCGTTTTTAAAATTTCATAAACAAGATGTTGTCCGACCGTTATTGCGTCAGATCGTTTATTATGCTACTAAATCTTAAGACGACGAGTGACGCGAAGAAACCGCATTATCGATGGAACCGTGACGGTTACAAAAAATTCTGTAACTACCGCGACGATAACGATCGTCTAATTTATACTACTACTAGTCGGTCGAACCGAAAAACAAATACCGTGCTGCACTAGTGGTGTGTACTATAAGACTATTTTCTACATTATGGTACAACCAAACTGAACCAAATGCATCATGGAAAGCGCATTGTGCATGATTTTCCGTATTAAAAAATTGTCTCCTCGTTGTCGGAGGCTACCACTTTGAGAGTCTGATAACGTTGCTGCACTCAGTGAATTTGCACGTTTTAGACATTGGTCTGTTCAAAAAATGACTAACTTTATAACTTATAAATGTCTGAGTTTTCAAAGACAACATTAATATGTATTTTACCTTGTTCGAGCCGGCCCTCGACCGATTACAGAACCGCGACGGTCATTATATACTTTATCACCAGAATGTCGAGAGGCTTTCGAAAAACTTTTAAACCGCTTTTGTCGGAGCCGAGCTATACCTATACATTATATAACTGTTTATACTAAAATTCCAGTGTCTTATCTCTTGAGTAGGTACTATAGTATTGCACTTGCTCGGTCGGCGCGCGTGGTATTTATTAGGGGGGCCGTAAAACAGCAGCTATCTCCTCGAAAAGAATACAAAAAAAATATTATTTTCTCAACGACAACTGCGCGATTGATCTTCGAAAGACAGCGCAAAACCCGACGGTTATTATTAAAAAACTAATTACTATTGTGAACACGACCATCGGTGGTGGCGACGGCGATCGTTTGCTCGCATTGGAAACCTCGTGCTACTTACATTAATTATGTTGTATATATGAGTGGAGATGTAAGTAACGTCGGCCGGATGCATTTCAAAAACCGTACATTTTTCGATCGAATAACACAATGCGCAAAACGCTTGGCAAACACTTGACTAAATAAACAAATTTTTATGTAAAAAACACGCGAAAAAACAAACACACTTCGATCCGAAACCGTTATGAGTATAATATAGTTAAGACTATTGAGTAATAGTCAAGATAATAGTATCAAGAAATTTTACAAAAACCGTAACGTTTTTCTGTCCAAAACTGACAACTTTTCGGATAATCGCAACGGCTGGGTTCGAGTAGCGACGGTAGGCTACATAAAGACATCTTGCCCGCAAACCCAATTATGCTATTTAAGACGTTTTCGACAAGGCGCACTCGGTATTTATTATAATATTATAACGGAATTAAACTCGAAAATCACGAGCACCGAGCACACGGTGGCACCAAGAGTCACTAAACAACAAACAATAAAACGGTTTGCATCTAATATATACACGGTCGATAATGAAAAAAAAATTATTCTCTCTCTCTCACACTTAAAAAAATATACTCATCGTATATCTTTTTCGCATACACTCGGCCAAAGTCTATATTATAATAATATAATAATAATAGGTGTGTAATAAATGTACATATCATTATCTCGGCAAATCCTCGTGTAAACCTGGCCGTTATCTTTTCAGGTATTTCAGATAAAAAAAAACCGCTATATGTTGGTTTGTTTGAACAGTAATAATTATTATTATCGTATATATATATATATATATATATATATATATATATGTAATGTATACAATAAAAAGAAAGAAACATTCGAGTTCAATATTGGTTCTAAGCTCGTTGTCAAGTAAGTACAAAAAACAGTCTTAACCGTTTGTCCTATCGTAGATAGGCGATAAGAGATGAGCCCGACACCGTGTTGTCGAGTGTTCGGCATAATAATAATATATAATATATCATTTCGATATTATAAATTATTCTTAAGATATTATATTGTTGTAAACGATAACAGATACGGCCGACTTGCAAAGGCAACGTGTGTCTCCCGCGTGACTTCCCCCACCCCTTTACCCCCTAAAAAAAAGCCAGTACAGCTAAGAAGGAGGTGTCACAATATGTCTACAAGGCAACTATCACAACCACAGACTATAGGATGAAAATTGTAAAGAGATAGTTTCATTCTGCCGAAATCAAAGAAAATATTTTAAAAAGACCTGATCAAGGCCTCGCAAAGAGATCAGTGTAGCCGCATGAATTAGTACAAAATATTATTGTGCCGATATTTTACAATATTAGTGTACAATCTCCTTATCAAATAATATAATTTAAATGATAACTAACTATATAATAGATGATTTATTTTTATCTAATCTGTGGTATTATTAAGACATTTTATGATTGAGTCTGCGGTCACACTGATTTCATTTTGAGTCATACGCCGTCATGGTTTTTGTTAACATGCCAAGTGAGCTATCTGTTCTCAAATAGTTTGTGTCTAACAACTGAAAGAAGATAAAAATCACTGTATTAAACGGTCTAATTTTTAAACCTAAAACCTTTAAAACTGCATACAAAAGAGGGAAGAAAAAAAAAAGTTTTCACCCCTTCTAGGGGAAAGGGTTTATGATTTTTTTTTTTTTTTTTAGTTTGTCAACATTAGCCGGTAGTAGTACTAGACCTAAAGAATATTCCATTAAAATTTGGAACTGACAAGATGTAAAATGTCATATATTTTTTTTTTATCCACCTTTTGCGACAAATTACAGTCAAACATATTAATGTAAGTCTCAACGAGCTTTGCTTTTCATCTGTTGTAATCTTTATTCAAATAATGTGAATAGCACTTGTATAAATAAGTCAATTAGTCAATAATTTTTAGGAATATATTGTAAATCACAATGGCTCATGATGCCGCGGGTTATATTAAATACAAAATTTAAACAAATTCGGAATTAATTCGACTGTTTAAAAAAAAAAAGTTATAAGTATAGCGTCAATAGGTGGAAAAATATGTTCACATTTTACATTTTTGACCCAAGATATGTAATAATACATTGAATCGTCGAGTAACGCGTTATCCGTTGTTATCAATATTTTTTAGGTTTTTATTTTTTTTTTTCGTCATTTAGACTTTGTTTTCATTAATAAGCGATTTGGAAATGAATAGTAATGATTTCCACTCGGTGCGTCGACCCTACAATTAATATTCATAAATCATTACACTATTATGTATAGTGTACGGTGTACACAGTGAGTTCACAGTCGGCAACGATCGAACGACATCCAAGTACTTGTTGATGTTTTTTTATTAATTAAAAAAAATGTTTTGTTAAATTTAATGTTTTTTTCCTTAACCCTAACCTAACCATAGATTAAAAGAGAATGGCAATAATATTCTGATCTAGTATTTATTTTTCACGGTAGACTAGAGGCAAAATCGCGGCAACTATAGTCGCTGTTAATCATTAAAAAAATAATAATAACAAAATATAATCTAGGAAGTTACGAATGACGAAGGTTGGGGTTAGTTGTGTGTTAAACGTTAAGTCATACTACGCTTTCTTCATTAGTTATCTTGGCGTTTAGTCGGTGTATTTTTCTTTTTTTATAATATGATTAATACGACGTGGGCATTTTTTTTTTTTAAATATAATATTTATATATTTGTTATTTCGTTTGATGTTGATTACATGACCTTTTTAAGTGTTTAGTTATGCGATTGGTTCAAGTCGAGCACTCGAGATACTGCTATAATAAATCAGACAAATCGTTTTTATGTGGTACTATCGATGTTCAATGACAACCGTAGAAAACAACAAAAAGATTAGCCAAAGATCAAATCAAGATGTACCTGCCGTTTGTCATTTCAATTATTTTCATCTAGCTCGGGCTGAATGTAATAATAATTTACACGAGCAGGCGCCACGGGCAACATACATACATTAAGTACCTGTCTAATAAATTATGATATCGTTATTGCGTCGAAATCGTTTGTACTTTGTCATTAGTACCTAAAAATATAGTAGTATTAATTATGTATACTGACTACTATTTATTATAACCCCAGAATGTAGTCGGCGTAGGTACATTATAAGTTATAACATATACCAACACATCATTTTAGCAAACAAAAAAAAAACAGGGTTTCTCGAGAGAACGAAATTATGATATAAGAAAAAAAAAATCTCTAAAAAAACCATATTAAAATACACTTGGGGCATTGCACCCGGTAGAATCGCGGATAACTATTAAAAAACTATAATAATTATTGTACACCCACATCGAATGAGAGTCAACCGAAGGTAGTAATAATAATAATGATTACAGGTAGATCCATCGTGTTAACCGCTTTTATTATTTCCAACACACGCCAACGTCGGATTTGTCGCAATCAAGAAAATATTATACATCTTATTTATGGTCCGTCTCGCGAGAGAACGGTACTGCGCAGAAACCACATAGCATCGCTCCTGTCTGCGCAGTCCCGTTCTGTCGCGAGACAGACTATAAAATGATAAACTGGATAAAACCAATTCAATTTATTATTGTTAATCAGACACCGAAATTACATACATTTAGTATGTTCATACTGAGTGTCATGGCACCGTCACGACTCATGAGGGTTTTGGATATGGGCGTTTCAAATAAAACCGATTTCATGGACCAAATTTTATTGTTGCATATTTGAAGGGGGATTAAGGAAGAATATTTTGTCACAAGTGCTTATAATTTGCATATTTTACACGCCCGTATTAATTAAATTAATATTTCCTTTTAAGTATCTAATTTTTGTATAATGTGTATTTAGACAAAAGCCAAACGTTACCAGTGAAAAAAAGTGATTTTGTTATTCTATTGTATTTTCTAATAAACGCATTACAAATGTGTTATACTTTTTTTTATTTGAAAATCAATATTTTTAACTATTTTTTTTTTTTTTATTTGTTACAAATTTTATTTATGCTTAATCTTGAAAGTTTTTTTCATTTTTACTCTGCATGTTTGCATCATACTAATTATTAGTACGATGTGTTTGGACGACATGAAAATTGGCAGAATCCGAAGAAAATTCAGTGTAGAGCGATGTGCTTTGTCCGTGACCTTATCAACTATTATTATTATTGATAAAAACTGCAACGCATCAAATAAACATAAAAAAGAGGCATCAACAATTTTTAGCGAATACAAAACCAAAAGTGAATTTTCTTTGTTTGAACAATAACTGAAATAATAACAATAACCGGACACAATTGAAAAACAAAATAAAAAATTATCTTTTAATTTGTCGGTCTTATTAAGAACTTACATAATAAAATTATGACGGTTTAATCTTCGAGACAAACGCCGTTTTATTAATACTTACTTAGAACTTAATAAATTTAAAAAATGTGTTATACATTTTTTTTTTCTCGAAATTTCTTTTTTCTACGACTTGGCTCGAGTTATAAAAATAATGCATCGGATTCTAAATATATCACACGGCGATAACACATATAATTATTATCGTAATACGATGTTGAACACATGTTGTGTGCATAATAATAGTAATAATAATATTTGTATAGAATGCAAAATGGGTTTTCTCTCTCTCACGGTGTTATTATATTATTATCATTATGGAATATACGACTCTATTCTACCGTGTTCTATAACTGCTAAATATTATCAATTTGCCAGTTATATGTACACATACAGTGACCATTTGGGCGTCATCGAATTACTGGACCGATTGAACCGGAACGGTTATTATCGAAAAACGTAACAAATGCCTATTTATATATATTTTATCATTAAAAAAAATATAAAAATTAATTATACAATAACTATTGTGTCAATTTATAAATTAATCTATACACACGTGTCCTTCTCTTTCCTCTCTACCGGGTGGTTCTTTTAACGCCGTACATTAGTTTTCTTTTTTATGCAATTCAAAATCTTTTTTATAGCTTTATCAACTTTTGAAACATATATTTTATTAACTTTTTAAATTGTGAATAATTTGCTGAAAATGTTGACTGGTCGATAACCGGTTTTGAATAAATAGTTTTATAATTTAGGACGAAGGGAAAGGTGAAGTGTATAAATTTATTTTTATCATTAATTGCATTCAACCGCCCTACACCGCCCGTCCTAAATTTTAAACTTAATGACTTTAAGTATAATTATTTTTAAAAATGGTAATCGACCAGTCAACATTTTCAACAAACTGTTCTAAAGTTTCAAAAGTTAAAACAGCTCTAGCAAATACCATTAAAAGATACAAATTTCAATATCGTCTAATACTCTACCGGAACGCGAATGAAAATGTTTTCAAAAAGAAACAACAAAAAAATTGCAATTAATTTTAAGAGTAAACTAGTGGTAGGGCGTTAAAAAAATCACCCGATATAACGCGCTAGCTATTATGTAATACAAAATAGTTTTTCAATTTGAAGCGACCCGGTCA